TTCCAGACAGGGGTTTGAAACTTAATACGCTCAGGTGCAGCATCAGGACCTTTTTTCTAGGCGTGAAAAGAAAAAAAGACAGACCTGATTTTTCTCCAAAGTGAGCAGTTTTACCAAAGAAAAAAATCAGGATTTCTCTCCTGAAGGAGCCTGCAGGCAAATAATAAATTCAGGGTGTTGGGTAGCAAAAGCATACGTGGACCCCATGGCTGGAGGCTCAAGCTGGGGCTCCTTGGGGTGGGCTTCCCCAGGCTGGGCGGTAATAGAAGCACAGCTATTCCCAGCAAACGGCCCGCGTCTGCCATGAGGAAGGCAAGCTTTTACCAATTGCAGCATAAATTTGCCCAAATAACTGCACCCAGCGGCTCTTGCCATCGCGGCGTGCTTGGTCAGAGCCCACGCCGCGCTTTTGCCGTGATGGACGTCCCTGTGCCAGCCCCAAGCCCCGCGGCGTGAGGGATGCTCGCCTGTCCCCTTTGGTACCACGGCATCCCCGGGGCAGCGTGCTGGAGCCCGTCCCGGCCCCGTGGGGCTTTTCCCATCCCACGCTTGATTTTTCATGGATATAATTATCTGTCACATCCCCCATATCGCTGCTGCTGCAGATCTCACTGTGTCTTGAATGCTGAAGTGCAGCTTTCAGAGCAGAGTGAGTGGCAGGACAGAGCCCAGTGTAAACCAGTTAGCTACTGGTCCACATCCTACCCAGGGAGAGATAATCGTCCTGTTACTTATTCAAATGGCGATGAGGAGGTTTTGGGTTCCAGCCCAGCAAGAAGCCCGCGAGGTGGCTCTGGCAGGCAGGGCTGGGATATTTTCGGAGGACTCAGGTTGCAGAAGCAGAGCCTTTAAAAGGGTAGGAGCATCTTAGCAGAAAGAAAAGCAACGCGGTGGGGTGAACACGGCCAAAATCGTGCCGTGAAGTGGGGTGAAGCCCACGTGGGAGGCTGGCTTTGCAGTGGGCTCTCAGAGGGGGACTCTCTGAGGGCGGCACAGCATCGCGCTGCCGAGCAATGGCTTGCAGGTCTCTAAGTCCCCCCAAAAACCCTCTGCAAGCTGCAGGCAGGCTCTGGAGCAAAGTGCTATGGGCTGAAACGTCGCGAAAAATCATAGGGGAAGAGTTTGGGGTCTCATAAATCGGAGTGTCGGCTAAGAGAAGATGTACAGGGTAGGGCGTAAGAGATGGATGCTGGAAGGGTGATGAGTGACGGTTGCGTTGAGCCCGGAGGCATCGGGGAGCCGTGGTGTGCCTCCCCTCCATCGGGGAAATGTCTGGGACGTGAAAAGGAGCTGTCAGCCCCGTAGCTGTAGCCGTGGACCGATTCACCCATCATCTCCGAGCTGAATTCATCATTAGGCTTATCGCTCAAGCCTAATAGTTCCTTGCCAAGGAGCCTCTTGTCCCAGGGCTGAGGTGGTTGGTACCTTCCGTAGCGGGGACACTAGTAATGCTCCGACATAATTAAGAGCGGGGCTTATTGCCTTCGGAGGAAAGGGAATCCTGCATCCAAGTTAGAGCGGGGAGGAGGGTGAGCACGGTTGCGGCAGGGGCTGCGGCGCAAGTGCTTGAAATGCCAACTGCTGCCCTCCTGAGTTACAGCGTCTAAAATAGCAGTTACTGCCAAGGAGATCCAGCACGAGCCTCGCTGAAGGCGCTGCCATCGGGTTTAACTCCTGCGAGGCGGCAGCGGTGCACCCCTAAACCGGTCCCTGAGGATTTAGAGGGGCTGCTGGCTGGGA